CAGCCAGGGTGGGGTGGGGGCCAAGTCCAGCGGAGTCTGCAGTGGCCCCAGGCCTGAGCCTGCTCATGGAGGGGACCAGAGCTGGCTGCTGCGGGGGCAGGGAGGGTGAGTAAGCAGCCTGAAGCTGGAATTCTGACTCAGGGGCCAGCGGTGTATCCTCCCCCCACCAGCCCGCACCCGCCCTCACCCTGCTCCAGGGGGAAAAGAAGAAAAAGGCCCCAAAGCGGGCGAACGATTTAAGCTCATAAATCACTTTGCCCTGAAAAAATATATTTATTATTCTTAGCATTTTACACATTATTTGCAGAGTGGAGGGTATTAGAAATTTCAAAACAGCCCAGCGAGAGGCAGGACTGAGTCGAGGTGGCTCTGAAAACTTGCCGGTCCGGAAACAGATACACGAAGTTTCCTTATCTACCGGCTGCAGATGTCCGGATAGGAAACTCCGGCAGGAGATCCGAAAGGACATTTTTTTAAAAATCACTCAAATGAAAATACACAGTATAGGTGACTCCATGGAAAAATAATAAAGGGCAGGTTTTTTTGGTGGCTGCTGTGTGTTATTTAAATAAGCGGAGGAGACTGGGGGCTGGTGGGGGCAGCAGAGCTGCCACAGGGAAAAGTACTTCATGACCCTATTTTTAAAAAGAGCAAATCGAAGGCCAGAACATGAGGGTGGGCTGCTGGACCCTGGGTTCTGGGAATCCTCAGCAGTGGGGACGGGGGCGGGGTGCCCGGTGGCTGCAGGACAGGAAATTCGGCAGGAAAGAATCCACCAGAATGAAGACCGACCTGACTGACCCCCAAATGATTTCACTGATAAGAGACTTTCAGGTGGTGAAGTCTCTGCATTTGAAGTTTTGTTGTTGAGTTGTTTTCGTTTGCTTTTTTTTTTTTAAATTCCTCTTACTAACCACCAGCTCTACCCACGGTTGGTGACCACTGTGGCCCAGCCCTGCCCAGCGATGTGCCCGTTCCTACCAGCCTCCGCTTCGGCTTGATGAGGGGCCGGTTCTGACCGTTCATTTTGTGGTAGAGCCCGCACGCGTTGCACAGGTAGTGGCCGGTGCCATCACGTCGCCAGAGAGGGGTGGCTGTGGCCCCACAGTTGACACACTCTCGGCCTTCTGTGAGGGGGACAAGGAGAGACACGAGGCCTGCTTAGCGGCTTCAGAGAGCCAGAGGATCAAGGCTGACACACATGGTTATATGAAGGGAGACTTTCAGTCCCACCCCTGCAGGCAGAGGGGTCTAGGGGGTCCCCAGAGAAAAGGCCCTGAATCTTTTGAGGACAAATCCCCATCTCAGAGGCTGCTGAAGAAAAAAAACAGAGAGAAGCATGGGCCAGGGATTCTGAGAGCCAGTAGCAAGATACCCGGAAAAGGAATTGAAAGTCAGCTTTGTGGAGCGCAGGCTACAGCCACAGCCGCCCAGCCTGACCTGAGTCTGGGAGCCTCTCTTCCTCCTCTTTCCTCCTATTTCCTCTCACTCCCCCCCCCCAAGGTGCCAGCATCTCCAAGTCTGTTCCCATCTCTGCTATCAGCCCCTTGCTGTCTTTATATTTGGTCCAGGGTCAGGAAGGAAACTTCTCTTCCCCCAGATTTTCTCCTTTTTCAGCCAAACCCCTAGATTTCAATGATCAAAGGTGCTGTTTTTAAAAAATGAAATAATCAAGAAGGTCTTTCACTTTAGGTTAGGTGGCCTTATTTTTTGTTGTTGTTATTTTTGGTCACCTGGAATTCAAACAAAATACAAAACAAACTCGGAAGAAAGGACTACAAAAAAGGCAAAGAGTCTGGTCTTAGAAGGGCGGGAGCTAGAGTCAAGCTGGGTTGGAGTTCAGTGGAGTGAGTGCTTAGCAAGGCGGGACATTTCTTCCTGGTTTATTGGAACTAAGTACCTATGAAGTCAGGCAAGAGAAGGTAGTTTCTGAACTCAGGGGTAAGCTTTGAAGAAAGCCTCCCTCTCCCTTGCTAAAAGTTATGGGAAGGAGCCCCAGAGCCATAGGTTATCGCCTCAAGGCCACATTGCTAGACAAACCCAGCTGGATCCAGCTACCACTGGCAAAGGGGTGCGGGCTGCAGAGGTCCTCGCTCCTACCCTCAGGGGGAAGGATCAGGGTCACTGGGATACAAACAGGCCTTGGGAATTTTGCTTTGGGGAAATCTCCGAAGAGATCTGGAGTCACTGCAATCCTAAAACTAGACTAGCAGAGTTGGAGAACCAGATTCCTTTAGGGCCTGGACCTCTGCAGAGCCCGCAGCAAGCACACACGCTCACAGATACACGTACACACATGCACACACTGGCTCCTTCCCTCACCTACACACTGCACGCTCCCCCACATGCAGTCATGAGGCCGCTCAGTTTCAGCTGAGCGTTTGAGAGACTGGAACCACATTCTGAGTGTCAGCTGATGCTTGCTGACCTTGGAGGGCATGGTGAGGGGTGAGGAAAGGAACTGAGCTCTGGGTACTTAGGGATACTCAGGGGCAGGATGGAAGTTTAAGGGTTCCTTCCTCCCCACACCTGTGGCAGAGAGGACTGCCACCCCATTCTTGGATCAGGCGCACCAGCATGGCCCCTCTTCAGATCACAACCCCCTCTACAGAGGAACGCTCCACCCACAGGCCCTGAAGTCCCACATCTGCCTTTACCTGAGCAAGAGCGTGCCTTGCTTCGCTGCTTAGGGGTGAAGCTGGAGGCTGGACCTCCCAGGAAGCCTCCAGGATGGAAGAGCCCGCTGCCATAGTCATGAGCGGAGGCAGGGACATACGAGGGATAAGTGGGTATCGGGTGGTGAGTTGCAGGCTGAGTGCCCATGGTAGCCAGGCCTGGGCGCAGGGGACTGCCACCTTCCATCTTCATGCTCTCAGACAGTGACACTTGGTACTTGACACCATCCTTGTCCTCACCCCGGGCTACACTACCCCCTGCAGAAGAGGAGGCTGGGGAAGCGGCTCCCGTGGTGCTGGGATCTGGAGACACTTCTTTGGGGGGTGTGGGTGGGAAGCCGAAGAGATGGGAGCCAGAGTGGGCTGCAGTGGGGGTGAGGGAGGCCACTGAACTCCCGCTGCCTCCTCCGCTCCCACCCGCAGCCCCTGGGTACACAGACAGAGGCCCCCCGGGTGCGCCAGCAGCAGAGGGGTGAAGCGGGGTCTTGGAAAACGGACTGACGGTCCAGGGGCTGTGGTGATGGGCAGCGGCGGCAGAGAGAGCAGCTTTGCCCCCGTCCAGCCATGGCAAGCCTGGGCTGTGCAACAAGTGTGGTCGGCACATCTGGCCTCCTGTGAGACGGGCTGCAGCAGAGGGAGAAGGGATGAGTTTGGACAGGGGCCTCAGAGCCATGACACAGGCACACAGGATCACAACTCAGGGAACAACCATCAGCAGCCCCACCCTTTAAAACACCAGAAACGTAACAGCTCAGCCTGTAATCATCAGCAGGGTCGTGGAAGGCCGGAGGACAAGCGGCACAGAGCAACCCCACCGGACAGGGCCCAAAAGGTGTCCCCCAAGACAGCTGGGAATGGACAAAAACCCTACAGGTCTCAGACCCTCCCCAAGAGGTCACTGCCTCCACCTTCCCCAGCCCGATTTCGCAGCTGCTCAGATTCCTGTGGATCCCACATCCGGGAAGCAGCAGCGGGCTGTCCTCCCCTCCGAGGCCTGGTGTATGCGCCGGGCTTGCAGAAACCCGGAGGGCCGAAGCTCACCGTGCGCCGGGCTGTAGGAAACGCGCGCCCGCGCGTGGGCCGGGTTGGCGTAGTAGGGGTTGCCTTGTGAGTCGAGATGGTTGAAGAAGACATCCACTTCGTCAGGAGGCAGCAGCTGCGCTGGCTCCATGTAGTTGTGCGCCAGGCCCGGGTGGTGCGAGTCGGGGTGCTGCGCATTCAATACGGCGGGGTGCGCCATCCAGCGAGGCTGCTCGGGCGCCACCTCCATGGTCCGCTACTGCGGCTTGGGATCTAGGCGAAGGCGGGGCGGCCCTAAGTGACATAGGGGATGTGAGGGGACACTGCCGGCCTCTGACACCCCCCTCCCAGAGTCAGTGTGTTGAGCGCAAAGGCGTTCCAGCGGAGGTCCGCTGAGGTGCAGTCCCGGGTGGGAGGAAAGCGCTGGTCCCTCTACCAAGGTTCAAAACGAAAGGAAGGCGGAGGAAGGGTTCAGCCTCACACACTCGCAAGGAAACTCGCGTTCCCACAGCCGCACACCCAAGCACACGAGGTCACATACAGGGACGGACCCTGACACCGGCGACCCCAAACAAACGCACGCGGAACTGATATCGGGTTCTCACACCGAGCCCCTGTCCTCTGGGCATACAAACACACGAACTCTGACTAAAAGTTAGAGACAAGAGTCTGGACATCCACTCTGGGGCACACTGCACACACACCCCCATTCACTTACATTGTCAATGCATACAGACTAACCTCGACACCCCCAACCCCAAACACGCACACGCACACTCAGTTCCTGGGGCCGAGAGCCGGTCCCCAATGTCCTCTCCAGTAGTCCAACCAGACCTCTTCCCAAGGCATAAAAACGTAATCGCCCACAGGAGATCCTGGCCTGAGTTCCACAGAGATCCCTCCAACCTAGGAGTGCCCACAAGACCCCTGCTCCTCAAACTTACACTCGCAGGCGGCGCGCGAAGGGGAGGGCTCAGCAGTGGAGAGTAAGGGACACTAGGAGAGACCCTAGAACCACGGGTCCCGCGACAGCGCGTCCAGAGACTGGCGGGTTCACGGGATAGGGGCGGGGGACAGCGCGCGCCTCGGCCTCCGGCCCGCCCGGCTCCGGCTCCGGCCCCTCGGCATCCTCCGGCCGCCCTGGCGCCAGCTGCCGACTCCTGCACAGACATGAAGCGGGGGCCGCGCACGCCTAAGAAGCTGGCGCCAGCCAATCAGCGCCGCGCGCCGCCCAGCCTCCGCCCCCCCATTGGCTGCGCCCTCTGCTTCGGCCGCTGGACTTCGGGACTGACCCGGGAGCCGGCCCCCCTCGGCTGCCTGGCCCCCTCCCAGCGCCCTCCGGGCGGCCTCTGATGCCAACGCCCCCCCAGGGGTCCCTCGCCGCGGACAGAACCCTGCACCCCTTCGGCTGACGCTTGGGTCCTCCAACCTCTACCCTCCCAGCAACTAGCCACCAGTGGGGTCCCTGACTTCTCAGGAGTCGAGACACGCATCTTCTGGGTATCTCTCAGCTGGGACCCCAGCCTTCCAAGCTCTCCGGCGGAGCCCCACCTCCTTCGCTACGGATCACGGCCAGCCCCAGTCCAGCGGACTCCCCAGACCTCTGCCTCCTTGTGCAAGGGGCTGGTAGGATCGGCTGGACAGCATGAGTCTAGGACTGTGGACCCCTTTAGGACACCGGACTTTGGCCACTAGGACGCTTAAGACTGTGCTGAACCGATAGTCGCGGTCCGGCCAGTGGCCCAAGGAGAAGAAAAGGCTCCGGGCATGGCCTTTGCAGACCACCAGGCCAAACTGCCTGGGGCGAGGCTGGAGCCGGGGACTGGCGCCAGAGTCGGCTGGAGGGAGACTCCCAGGGCACTAGCCTTATGTATATTTTTTCCGCCTAGGGGTCCCCGAGACGGCCTTCGGGGAGAGGGAAGCAATGTTTTCAGCACTTTGTTCCTAAAATCACCTGGAGTTTTTTCTCCACAGCACCTCCATTATGGCAAGGCAGTGAGCTCGGAGGCGGGCACACAAATCTAGTTCCCTCCTTGGGTACAGACCTAAGACCTTAGCTCAGAAAGAGAATTTCGAGTCAGAGTTTAGGGCAATGTAGACAGGTGCGAGGGATTGGCCGAGCTCGATGCCCTCCATCTAGCCCCTCTGTCTTTGCAGGACCCTAGACCTCCAGGGAATGATCCCAGAGGGGTCCCAGGTGGGTCCCGAGCAGAGGGAGGGCTGGGGTCCCTGCCGCCCCCGAGGATGGGGGAGGGGCAGCAGGATTGACAGTCCGTAATTGGGTAACTGGAGGCGGCTTCTCCGGCCCGGCGGCCCCGCCACCGCGACGCCGGGCCCCTGACGTCACCCGATTCGCCAGGAAATGAACTTTTTAATAATCCAAGGAGGGAGGAAAGCCCTCGGTCCCCTCGGCTCGGGGGGCGCCCAGCCCGGCTCAGCTCTGCGGGCGCGCTCCCATCACCCCCCTCCCACGTCCTCTGCGGACAGCTCTGAGGGGGCGCGCACACCGCAGGGCCTCCTCCGGCCTCTGCGCCTGGCGTCCGTCTGACTGTCCGAGGCTTTGGAACAGGTAAAGGCCCTGAGCCCGGGGTGCAGAACTGCACCGGGACGGAAACCCGCGTCTCTCGCGCCCTGGGGGGGAGGGGGTCCCTGCTGTCCAAGGTGTTCCCTGCGCTTCAGCTCTCCTGAGCCAGCAGGGGTCCAGGCGGTTCGGGAGTACACAGCCAGCCTACGCGGGAGGTCGTGCGAGGAGAGGGCGAGGGGCTGCAGGGGCTCAAGGCCTCAGTGCCTTGGGCCGGCTGGGCAGGTAGGTGGTCTCTGTGCCACCAAGCTCGCGCTCCCACCTAGGACCCGCTCCCTCTCGGGACGGCTTTCTCGACTTCTCCCCGCCTTTAGACCACGATTCTTCTTTAACACGCAAAGCGAGATAGTCATGGAGTTTCCAGTGTTCCTTGTCCCTGGAACCTAGCTGAGCATCTAAAGGCCTCGCAGCCTCGGCGATAACCCTCCTCTCGGCAACGGTGCCCCATGCGGACGAATCCCAGGCCTCTGCACTGCAGACTTCCAGGAGAGCGCGGAGCACAGAGGAAGCTGCCCTGGCCGTCGGCGCCTCTGCTGGCAGGGCGCGGGGAGGGGGGGCTCTTCCACACCACCCCCGAAAGCAGGTAATTCCCCTCTTTTCTCCCAAAGTCGCAATTAAAATTATCACTGTTTGAACGAGATGGGGGTTGCGGTTTCCACGCCACGTCTCGCACAGGGCAGGTCCTGCCTCTCGCATAGGTGAAAGGGGTCAGCCCGGCGGGTCCCCACTAGAAACACGAGCCCCAGTGTTGCCCACCTGCCTACCGCAGAGCGGGGTGCAGAAGGGGCCGAAGGGGATTTAATTACTCCACTCGGCAGCTCAGAAAATCGCTAAGCCGGGCGGTTAAGCGACGCTTGAGCCAGGGCCTCAAGAGACCCGCAACATCCTGATTGCCCACAGACTGGGCATGGGGTTGGGGCGAGGGGTGTCCTGCCAGGTCCTCTGAGGCCCTGGGGCTGCCTTCTGGAAAGTGCAAGCAACCAACCGGCTGGCCTGAGCCCTTGCCGAGGTTGGAACTCCTGCGTCCGATGCGGGACTGCAGTTTTCCAGCAGGAACGAACCGGTCTGAAAGGGAAAATTGCCGGGTAGGTAGCAGGGAACTGAATTGACAAATAAAGGGGAACCCGCGCTGATGAACGCGTGTGAACCAGATGGATCCACGGCTGAGAACCCACTACTAGGCCGAAAATGAACCGCTAATGAAGCCCAAACAAACACCAGGGAGGGCCGATCCCCATCCCAGCATGGCTTAGATTCGGTTTCCACCAGCCCCCGCCGGCCCCCCAAAACGAAAGCAGATTTATTCCAGTTTACAACCTCCTACTATGAGGTCCCCAGAACACCTTCAGGTGCACTCTGTCTTTTTGTTGTTGCTGCTGCTGTTGTTTATTTTGGAACACACCTAGGGCTGTTTTTCTCTGAACAAAACTGCTTTTCCTTCCGCGGGAACAAGATTTCTAGGAGAATAGAGAGAGCTTGGCTCCCAAGCTGAATTATCTAACCACCATTTGAGAGAGAGAGAGAGAGAGAGAGAGAGAGAGAGAGAGAGAGAGAGAGAGAGAGAGAGAGAGAGAGAGAGAGAGAGAGAGAGAGAGAGAGAGAGATCTGGAATCTTCTGTAGAGAGGGGGCAATGGGGGTGCTTCTGAGTGGGAGCTGGGTTCTGTGGACCCAGGCCCTGTTCTGGGTGTGGCCCGGCTCCTGCAAATCAGTCTAAAAGAAGATGGAGTCATATAGGCCCCTAGTTGGTGCTGCCCACCCCACTTGCCCTTTGTTTAAACTTTGCTCTTCCAAGTCATACCTCTGGGATCACACGTCTGCCCTCTCCTTGCAATCTAATTCTCTCCTAAAGACAGCTACCTGGTCGGCGAGCTTATGACTGCCTTCAGAACCGAAGTCATTCACAATCCAGAGGCCTCCAGCCCTACATTAGCCACAAGCTTTGAGGGGCACTGGGAAGGAAGTGGGGAAGCTTTGGCTACAGTGTCCTCTCTGGAGGAGTCAGAGATGTCCCAGGCAGCATCCATCAATTCAGAAGGGTTCTAACAGTACCTCTTGCTCTCTTGGGATTCGATTCCAGCTTCTCAGATCAAAAGATTCCCACTTCCCTAGCATCTGCCATCTTACTCTGAGTCTTTTGGAAATAACAGACACTGGTACTCAGTGTCTTAGGTGACTGGCCCGCTGGTGCCAGGTGCCTAGGACTCTGAAATTTCTAGTCAACTTCTAGCCTTCATACCCCACCCACAGACAATCGGGGGCCTCCTCTTCGCCAACAGCTATGCTTTGCTCAGAGGCCTGGGGGTCAGCGGCTTGACAACTGCTAAATGCATTTCGTTAGATGCAATTTGCTTGCAATTTGTCAACCCGGCTGGGAAACGCTCTCCAGACGCCTGGCAGACGCTTTGGCTCTATCTGGTTCCTGGATCCTGACTGCTTATAAACGAATCCCGACGTGGGCCTCAGTGTAGACCCAGAACTTAACCCCCAGATGTTCCCGACCTTGGGAGGCAAGTTTATTTTTCCAAACAAACGAATTTCTTTCCTTGTTTTCTGGTAAAGGAGTAGATGCCACACAGGAGGCCCTTCTGAACACAAGACCTTTCCCCTCACCGCTGGGGTAAGCGGAGTTCAAGTCCGGCCGCCACCGAACGGTTCAGTGCTCGGCGTCCAGACAGGTCCAGAGCTCTGTCTACGCCTATCCACAGCAGATCCCCAAGCCCGCGTCCGCTTCGTTTTTATTGAAATCCCCCTGAAAGGATTCTGGCTCCGACTTGGGCAGGGGAAGACTTAAACACCCTGCGCTCTCCCCCACCTGCACCCTCGCTCGCCACACAGGATAAAGGGCCGCGGGGCGCTTCGAGCGGGGGGCACAAGCAGGAGCGAGCCGGGTTAAGCCGCGCAAAGCCGGTGCACGGGACCAGCCGGCAGGTGCAACCAGCGACCGGCGGCCCGGCTTGGGCGCATCGGCCGCCGCGACCCGGGGGTGGGGAACCGCCGAGACAAAGGCTCCAGCTCTGGAGTGGGCGGGGGCGCGTCGCAAAGCTCTCGAAAGCCAGGTCTCGAGGTCCACGACTCCGGAAAAAAACCGAAGGCTGGAGCACCCAGGCTTTGGGTTTCCTGATGACCTGGGTTTGAGCCACTAGTCGGACCGTGCGATCCGGGTGTTGAGAAGGCCGTGCCTGGGATCCGGAGGTTCGGGACAGCGCGGGCGGAATGCAGGAACTTACCGACTGCGGCGCGGTGGGCGGCGCCCTCGGGCGGCCACGGCCAGGGCTCAGCAGGGAGGGAGCGGTGTACGCGGCGTGGCTAGTCGGCCCGCTGGAGCCGGTGAGACAGCGGCGGTCACCAGCCGGACTCCGGCGCAGCGCCTAACGAAAGATCGGTGCGCAGGCGGTCGCTTTTGTCCGCTTGATGGGCCCCAAGACCAGCTATGGTTGAGGTGATCGCAGGCTAGAGAGACCTGAGCAGTGAGCTACCGCCCGGCTGGCCTGGCCACCTCTCTTGGTTCTGGCTGCCTCTCGGTTCTCGGCCGCCGCGCGGCAGCTTTTTATTTCGACATCACTTCGCGGGGGGAAGGGGGCGCCGCAGGGGGGCAGGAGGGTGCCCGGGCTCTGCGCCCTGTCTGCCGGGTCCAGCCGCTGGGCTGGCCAGGCTCGGGCCACTAGTCAGTCGAGGCGCGCACACCCGACAGGCCACTCCCGCCTTCTCAGGGCCATGCAAGCACTTCTGCTCTCAGGGATGTAATCTCAGAAAGCCTGGGATGTCTCTCCTTTGAGACTCTCCCTCACAAGCAAGTACACAGACACCTGCCCCTCCTTCCATACACACATTATGCACGTGCTGTCGCTCTGTAAATGTCCCCAGATAGGCGCTCTCTGGCACACAAACACCCATGTGCACACATAGGTATAAGGTACACACACACACAACACACACACACACAGTCACACAACTCCCTCATTTCCTGCACATTTGGCGAAGTGCAGATGTATTCCCACTTCCTTCCCCATAGATGCCCGTTCCCAACTCAGCAGAATTTAAGAATGGAGTTTCTGGTGTGTCCTTGGCCCATTTACTGGCAAACCTTTTGCATCAGAGAATGCAAGGAGAGCAAGAGACTTGTCCTTACTGGGGTAGAGGAGGCAGCCTGGTGGCAGTCTGCGCCCTAAAGAGGTACCTGAGCTAGGTAGCAATGAGACCCATTCCTAGTACTACTTTAGGTCCTTGTGGGAAATTCACAGAACCATACAGACTTACTGTTTGGAAAGATTATGCGTCCTGGTGTGCCCCGTGCAGGGAGTGGGTCTGCTGCTTCTCTCCCAACCAGCTGTTTTAGGTCCTTCTGAATCTGGTGCATTGTTTATGCACCCTCTGTATGCAGTTCAGTTTATGTGCCCCGTGGGCTATGCGTTCACAATAGAGAACTCACAGAAGTGTTTGTGAATCCAAGAGTGTCCCTAAGCACCTGTAGTGGGTAGTTGGTCGAGGAATGACTGTTACTAGAGTGTGATCCTGCACGTGCATGTAAGAATTCTCTGTTCTTACATGAGAATGCTCTGTGGAACTGGGTGTATGTCTCTGTGTCCAGATATCTGAGACAGGCCATCATCTTCAAGAATCATGTGATAGGCAGAGGATATCTCTAAGTATGTCTCAATCAGTGTGCTACCTTTGTGTATTTGTGTTTGTATCTAGACATATATTTGTATATGTGTCTTTAATAAACCTGGCTATCCATCCATGTATATGTTTCAGCTTGTATTTTGTATTTAGGTGTGTGTGTGTGTGTGTGTGTGTGTGTGTGTGTGTGTGTGTGAAAGCTGGGGGTTTGCAATGTATCTGGATACTCACTGACAAGTCTATTAATAAGGGGTGTGTGTGTCTGTGTATCTGAGGCCATACAGGTGTGTATGTGTTTAAAGGCAAGGTCTCGCTATGTCACTGTGGCTGGTCTGGAACTCACAGTGATATACCTACCTCTGATTCCTGAGGGCCGGGATTAAAGGTGTGCCCTACCACTCATGGTTAATATGTCTTAATGGCAGGTGTTGATGTCTAACTTTGAGCTGAAGGCAGATGTGACAAACGTATCCAAGTATGTCAGCATATCTGTTGCTTCAGTGGAACTGATGTGTTGGGCTTGGTGTTTGTGGCCATGTCTGAGGGGTGGGCACCTGTGTCTATCACTCCATCCTGAATCTGTGTTTCTGTATTCAGGGCTATTCTATGTCTGGTAAAGAAGGAGTGTGGAGACAGTATGTGTATCCTCCAGGCTCCCTGGCCACCCAAGCACCTTCCCTAACCAGCAGGGCAGGCAGCCAGTGGAGCCCCGGGGTGCCATTTACTCTGGCACTTTCTGTCTGTCTGTGGGAGGGGGAGATGAGTTGATAAGCCTTATCTGCTATTACCAGGGCCATGCTGAATAACCGTTCTAATGAGGTGGCCTCACTGGGACCACCAGCTCCCAGGCCCCCCTCCTATTGGGTAGGGGCATGGCCAGCCAGACCCAGAGCACAGAGCCAATCCCCTAGAGACCCGGTAAACCCTGTGTCCTAGAGACCCTTATTATTATTATTTTTTGATTTGCCTTGTTTCTTAGAGGAAGGTCCTTGGTGCTATATCGGGGAATCAAGTCCTGTCTTCTTCATGGACTTGTCTGGGCTGGTTAGAAAAACCAGAGTCCCTCAGTCTGGCTTCTGGAGGCTCAGTATGAAGTCCAGAACTTGGGATGGAGGGAATTGGAGTCCCAGTGACAGAAAGATCCAGAAAAAGGGAGGGACTGAAGCAGCAGGGACTCTAGGGACAGATTTTTAAAAATGCAGTCGCGCTAACGGGCAGAGGTGCGAGCAGGGTGGGCCCAGGGACTGGGGTACTTAGGCCGAAATAAACAACTAACAAGTGGCAGAATGAATTAGAGAGGTGGGAATAGAGGCGAAGAAAGTATCAACCAGAGAGAGGCACGGACAAGGAGACAGAATCGAGATGCGGAAATGCAAACTACAGAAACATGAGAGCAAGAGAAGAAAAGTCTAGAGAGGCGTGGGGGGGAGCAGAGCTGGGGGGAAGCAGAGCTGGGGGAGACGGCAGACCAAAGATGGAGAGACCGAGTCTGCCCGGTCGAGGGGAAGCCAGGGCCTTGGAGACCGGGCAAAGCATGAGCCGAGGCTTGGACCCCGGGCGGGGCACCGATCACGGGGCGGTGGCGACGGACAGGGGGGTCTGAGTGGGGCTGAGCCGCTGTCCGGGGTAATTTTTCATCTCGGCCGGCTAATCTTTGTTCCCGGCGAAGATAATGAATAGCCAATCGTTATCTGCCCGGCTCCCGGAGGCTGCCCGAGAATGGGGTTGTACAGGGCTGGGAATTGTTTCCAAAGTGCCGCGGAATAAATGGTCTTTCTTATCTCTGCCTTCCAGATTATCGCAGCCCTTTCAGAGCGCGCACAACAAATGCGCCCGCCATCGAATGCAGCATTTACCACCGCAGATCCGCGCGCCGATGGGCAGGCAGATAGCGTCCGCGGGGGGCTCGCCGGGCGGCGAGTGTGCGCCCCGGCTCTGCCCGGTGTGTTTTGAGGAACACGTGGGTATGCCAGTGAGTGGACCCTGAGCAAGCAAGGATGTGAGTGTGCGAGTGTGCCTCGACAGAGTGCACGTGTGCGAACCCCTGAGCACACGCGTCGTGAGTGTTCGCGGCGAGTGCCAGGACGAGACGCCGGGACGCAGGCGGTAAGCGGTGCTGCACGTGACCGCGCGGGGAAAGCATGCAATGGGTGTGCTAGCCGCGTGCACGAGAGAATTCACTGTGAGGGCCTACAGGTACCTGGCCCCGGAGGATGCTGTTAGTGGTGCGGAATAGAGGGGTTTGCAGCCACTCAAGAATGTTATGTGTATCAAGCGCAGGCCGCACTCCACAAGGTGTGTTTCCGAAGCTGCGGGATGGACGCAGTAGCGGGCATTTGAGCTAGTGGCACTGGCTTTTGGAACCGGCACGGATCTGTGGGACAGTGTGTACCCAGGGCGACCGGGTGTGCCCAGAGATGCGCGAAAAGAAGGTCCGCTTTCGGGCCTTGCTTGAGCCTGTGTTGTGCAGACTCGGGGCTGGACATTGGCTGTGAGGAAGAGACCGCTGTATGCCTGGTCCGGAGAGTGCTGGAGAGTGACACCGGGCCAGCGGCTGTTTTGGGGGACTTCGAGAATGCCCAGCGGTCCTGGTCCTGGTCCTGGGGCCCCTCCGCCAAAGCGCTGCAGCTGGGACGACAGAGCCCAGCCCGCCGCCCGAGGTCCCGGCCGTGAGTGACACGCGCCGCCACAAAGGCTGTATTTTTCCAGGCCCGCGCCCCGCCTGCGCGCGATGGTCCCCATGGCGACGCAGATAGCGCGCGGCCATTTTCCTATCTCCCCGGAGTCTATTATACAGCGGGATTAGCTCATCTCCAGGCAGGTCAAACCCAAAGTCACACAACCTGCGGCGTGAGCCCCGCCTCCGGCCGCTCCTCCTCCGCAGCCGGAGCGGGCGACCCCCGCGGCGGGGCCCGTACGCGGGTGCAGAGCGCCACCTGGCGGCCGCGAGTTCCCGGCGCGCTGCGTAAGAGCCTGCAGGTGCCCAGGGCTGTGGCTTTGTGTGGTCGCCTGGGCAACCCCTAGGGAAAAGCTGGCACTCAGTAGGTACCCCCACACCATTTGCTGGAGGGATGGACGGGAACAGGGGCTGACTTCCAAAGGCCACCGCATGTTGTCAACAAAAGCCCATACCACTGAATGAAGAATAAAAGCCGATCTCCCTTGCAAGCCTGGTAGAAGTCTTGCTGACCCAGGCCCAGTTTCCTTCCTTCCTTCTTTCTCCAGGAACCATGGCCTTTGGGTTCTCTGGACAGGAACCCTGTCTCCCTGTGTCTGCTGGTTCCTCCACCCAGAGACGTCAGCTTGAGGTCAAATGTCAACCATCAGACAGAAGTTGTTCTGCTCTCCCCTATGCCTCCTCTGTTTGTTAGTCAATTTCATATTATCTAATGAATTCTCTAATACCAATTGCTTGTTCGGCAGTCTGTGATGTTCTGGACAATGGTGGAGAGGTGGAATTCTGACTGGTTGGGATTATCACAAGTTAAGAACTGGTTGGGGACTAGAGGGGTAAGCCCCATGCGCCAGGTTGCACAGCTTTCTCTTCATGTTGAACCTAGGATACTCAGTAGCTGTGAGTTACAAGAGTTACTCCATAGCCACTCCTGCCCCAGGGTCAGTGCCCACCTACTCCATCCGGAGGGGAGTTCCTCTCCTCTGCACCTGCTGTGAGGGTGAACTCACCCCACCGGCTGTCTTAGAGCGGCCCTGAGTGGTGGTACCTGAGCCTCAGGAGACCTCACTCAAGATTTAGGTCAATTAGGCAGAGCAATCCTGGCCTTGGGGGTCCATTGCTGACTGTGAAGCTGGGGCCATGTGCTGCCGAATGGAGCTCAGCAGACTCCCTCCTGGGGGTGGGAGCACTGGGAGAGTCTTGGCCAGGAGTACTGGAGGCTACCTTCAGGTTCTAGCAGCTTCCCCAGCACTGTCCTGGAAGAGGAGCTGAGTGGGGACCCCTGCACACCACC